TCTATGAATAAGAATTCCAGAAATACGATTACGTTACAAATAAATAATGAAAAAATACACGAAATAAAGGAGGTATAATTATAATACTTTAAAAAAATTATGGCATGGTAAATGAAGTGAATTGTCAATAAAAGTTTATGCAGAAAGAACGACCTAATAATCTTTACTCTTTTATTTTCCATATTACATTTTTAAGAATAATTGTGTAAAATAAATCCTGGTAATTTAAAAAAACTTGATGAATACATCAAAAATTAAATTTGTGTATCTAATTTGTGACAAAAAAGTATTTTAAAAAATATAAAATCCAATTTTATGAAACGATTCTGTCTATTTCATTCGAGTAATTTCAGAAGGGCCGATTTTTTAATGAAAAAAGTGTAATCTTACAGTTTTTATAATTCTTACAAATTGGAGAATCATAGACGTATCTTTTGGTAAAATTCTGTAATCAATTTACTATTATATATCGAAGTGTTCTATAATGTAAAGAAAGAAATTAAAATTTAAAAAATTGAGACTTATTTAACTGTTTGATTTAAAATTTAATATGCTTTTTATAAAATAAATTAAATTAAAATTGTGACATTCCAACCAATTGATATTACTCTTAACTCCAGAACATTTTTTGTTTCACTATGATATTCTTATTGTTGATTTTTCACAAAATTTGAGTAGTCACATAAATATTATTCTACCGTATCTATCAAAATAAAATGATTACTATATTTAGATAAAACTATTTAAAATAAAACAGACCAATAATTCTCTAAAAATAAAAATACTCACTCGGCAACGAATGCTTCCAAGATTCACCACGTCACTACCAAAAAAATGCAATACCAAAAACAGACTTTTACTCACGCAACAATTTAACACCTACATCACCATTATACTTATGTTTTTTAGCATACCATCACTGGGTCAACAAATTCAAACTATAAAGCCGAATAACCCTGTACAATTGTTACAAGTAACGGTGCAATGAAAGTCCTCAATGAAACTGCCTACATTCAGAAAGTAAATAATATTGATTCAACACTCGACATCAATGAAATGAAATAGAGGCACACTTTTTATGGGTGACATTTCAACTTTTTGTTTCGTCGATAGATTTGATATTTGATTATCCTTGAAAACACCAAATTCAATTTATTATAATTTTCGCTGTTTTTGGAATGTTTAAATTTGTTCAAATTTATACAAAGAAAATTATAGAATTTGAATTAATGATCAAGATATCACTTTCATTTTATCCGGATGTTTATTAATAATTTAATAATTATTTAAAATTATAAATTTTTTGAGTACAATTTATTTTGGACATTTAGGTTTTTGAGTCATAGGTACCACTGGGTATCTATTCTTGAATCTCAGGGAGTAGAAATTTTGAGGGAAGAATGAGACAAAAATACAAATTTTGCGCGTTGCAGATAAAGAGGCAAAACCGGTTTTCTATTCCCTCGAATTCAAGAATAGCTACCCTCTGAAGTCTTCCACTTGCTCTGCGGTAGAACCGGGATTCTAAGAATTGTTGCTTGCATGGTATTTCAGAGTGGCATTTGCGGTCTAAAAATGTTAATAATAAATATACATTCATAAATATTACTTTTTCTTCGCAGTGAGCAAATGCCACAATATCGTATTTGAGAAGATCAAAATAGTCTGTTTTTTAATTTAAATTTAATAACTATTTTGAATATCATTATTAAACGAATACCTACTCATAACTCAAGACATTGTATGCTGGCGTCACCCAGGGAAGTGTTCTTGGGCCAGTATTATATTTATTACACACTTATGACATTCCAGAAATAGAAAATATAAATTATAGTTTATTTGAAAATGAATGATAGCAAAATTTGTATGATCCAGGAGATAAACCCCAATATAACATCATAAATGTTAAGTATTATTTATTCCAAAATAAAATCTTTGGTCTTCATCCTAAATTTTTTAAAAATGCCAATTTATTTCAATTATTATCTTAAATTGTCTAGTCATTTTATTCAACAAAAATGAGGTAAGTATGTAATCTCTACAGGTAGAAAATATTTACAATTCAAAATCAATTTAAGTAGCCCTCAACTTTCTTAGAAAGGATTAAAATGTCTAATCGGCAGAAAGTGTTATGCAGATTGTAATTTATTTTATTTAAGATTTACATTTCTGTTTGTATAGTCCTGTGATTATAACACGCAGAATTGTTAGTTCTGTAATAATAGGCGATATTGATCAAGTGAATTTGTGCAATAAAAATGGCACAAACGTCTAATTATACTCCTGTGAAATTAAAGTGCAATTTAACCGTGCATATGAAAACGTTAGTGTTAAATGTATATGACGCTCTTGTACATGAACATTTAAATAGTACTGTTCGGAGTATAGTTTCTAAGTATTCAAATGTGACCGGAGTTGGAGAAGCAACCATTTATAGACTTTTGAAGCAAAGAAAGAATGGAAGTATTACAGTAGCTCCTAAAACATCAACTGAAAGAAAACCCATACAAATAGACGGTACTATGAAACAACTGATCCAAATAAAATTGCTTTTGTTTTATTTACAAAAAAAGATATCTACTTTGGATAAACTTTTAGTAGACATTGATGGAGACGAAACTTTGCCAAACGTTAAAAGAGACAAATTGTGGAAAACTACATAGATTTGACTTCGTTTGGGAGAAGAACGATAGAAAATCCGCGCTCATAGAGACAGATGAAATTATTTGTTGAAGGAGTCAATATTTGAGGGAAATTAGAAAATTAAGAAGAGAAGACAAAAATATTTTTTATTTGGATGAAACATGGATAAATGAAGGACATTTTGTAAAAAATATTTGGCAAGATAAACATGTTACAAATGCTCGTCAGGAATTTATAGAAGGTTTGTCTCCTGACTTAATTATCACTCATATTGGAGGAGGAGGAGGGGGATTTGTTGATAGAAGCTTGTTAGAATTTCTTTTAAATTCTAGGAAAGACTACCATGAAGAAATGACTGCTGATGTTTCTAATCTAATCTACTTAGACTAAACCACGTCAAATAATTTCTGGAAAAATATTTGGGCTCTTTACCCATTAATCCTGCCCATGTACAAATATATTGGCCCTTTACTTCTTAAGTCAGTCCAAATAAAATATTTTGTCTCTACTCCTCAAGACCGATCATGTAAAAATATTCGGCCCCTTTACCTCTTCAGTATGCACATATAAAAATATTTGGCTTTATCTTTTAAGCATGTAAATATAAAAAATATTTGGGTCATCTTCCCCTTAAGCCTGCCTTATATGTAAAAATATTTGGACTCTTTACCCCTTATACCTGTCCATGTAATATTTGGTCTTTTTTCCTTATGCCTGCCCTTGTAATATTTGGGCTATTTATACTTTAAGCCTGTCCATGTCAAAATATTTGGTTCCTTTGCCACTTAAACCTTTCGAAGCTCCAAAATGAAAACAAATTTTCTTTTAAAATTAAAAAAATCTGTCATCAGGGGATTCGAACCCCCACATTCGTGTTCTACGCACACCGCTCTTATCAACTGAGTTATCAGAGACATACAGCCGTATGCATTGTCGATCGCCAGCGACTCGCCAGAGATTCATTTCGGCGTATCGCCAGCGATCCGCCGGCGAAAGCCCAAAAAGCTGGCGACTCGCCGGAGATTGTCACCGGAATGTCATTTCACGCAAGTTTTCATGTTCTTTTAAGATGAATATAAGATTTCGAATCCAACCTCGTTTACAATTTTTTTCCATTCTTCAACGAACTATTGAACAGCATCGTCTGGGAAAAACATACGTCGGCATGCAGACACTTCCCCAGGTCGTCTGTGATGTATTAATTATCTATGTTACAACGCAAACAAAGCTAGTGAGACAATAGAATTTAAAAGTTCCGGAAACTTATCGGTTAAAAATCCTAAAAACAGGTTGATAAATTCCTCGGATATCCTCAAACACATCCCAAAATTATTCTGACGTGTTTTTTTTTGAGGATTTCCAAGAGGATTTCCAAGGAATGTATCATCCTCTTAACAAATTCAGATACGCGTTCCATTCTGGAAATTGTTAAAGGTCGTACAAAAATCATCACTACTTCACAATTCTATATTATTCGCGTAAAATCCACATTTACTCGTCACTTTCACTTACAATAAATTACTCAAATAAAATCTTTAAAAGATGTTCAAAAAATTTTAAATAATATATATGTCATTGAAGAGTGACAGCAATATAGAAAAATATTGTCTTTCACAAGCATGACCATTCATATATTGAAATCAGTAATTTTGTTGAAGCGCACAAAATTAGCTAAATAATGAATGCATTTTAAAAATAATGATATTTGAGGCATTAAAGTTAAACCGAAAATTCTGAAAATCAATAGTTTTCAAAAAAAAAAAAAATTATCAAAGAAAATCATAGCCGCAAGTCGATCGGCGCTTTCGTTATATAGTTATCGTGCCGGTGGACATATACAAGTGTTAAAAAGTCGGGGTAAAAAAAAAATTTCGTCGGCACGAATACAATACTGCAGCCTCAGTAATATTATCAATTAAACGAATTTATACTGATGAGCATATTTTATTATTATTAAGGTACCATTTGGAAACGCGAAACCGAGGCAGACGACAACAGCAAGGCAGCAAATATTGCCGTGTTAAAAGTGGTGTCACGTCTCTTTCATCGGTCGCGCTGTCCCAAATGTGTTACATTTAATTACATGTTTTCAGACGTAAAGAGACCGTTTTAGGTCGCTTGCTGCTGTTTCCTGTCGTGGTCTCGCCTTCCCAAATAGTACCTTTATTATTATTCCACTTTACTTCTTAGATAAAGCGCACATGGGTTATGCAATAGGCAGAACACACACTTAATTACATTAAGGGTCAGAAAAAAAAAGAAGAAGAAAACACTGCTACAGACATGCAATAAGCGAACCAAAAACCAAAATAATAAAAACGGAAACAGACATTATTCAAGCCATTCAAATTTCAAACCTGAAAAATCGACTGAAGCGTCCACGTCCAAGGAACACGTTCCGATAGAGTCAACGGACCTCTCCATAACGTTCCCCGGCGCCGTCATGACGTCATCTATGGCGCATTTAGATTTCGTCGTCGTCCTTTTAGCTGCCGCCGTAGTCGCTACGTCACCACCAAGGGTTCTTTCACCCTGCTGATGATGGGTCAGCGGGGTTTCCGAGAAATCGGTTCGTTCAAAACATTCTTTGCCGGCGGTCGGGGTTGGCAAAGAGACGACGGACACCTGTGGAGCGACGTCCACGTGGTGAACGTTGATCGCCGGCACCTTAACCAAACAAGTTATTTTGTAGGAGGAAACGAACAATACATAAGGGAATTCATGTTTGAAACAGTTGAGAAACATCATTTAATCGAAAACCCTAGTTTCATTTCAGTTTTTTACCAAGGTTTCAAAAAGTTGTCTAGTCTAAATCATCGAGATGATTACAATTGGAATAAAACGTCGCAGGGCATTCACCTCTGCTTTTTTAAAAACTTAAAATTGCCCATATTAAAGTTTGCTAGGTACTGCATTAGTTATCTGTTAAATTCGGTATTTTATTGAAAAATCGTTCAAAAAAAAAACTAATGTCAGTTTCCTAGATATAGGTTATTTTAAGTTTTTAAATAAGCAGAGGTGATTGCCTTACGACGTTTTTCTCCAATCATTCTATTAAAAAAAATTCCCGTATTACGAATGTATTCCTATTATTCTCTAAAATCGATTAAATGTGCTGTGGGGACAGCTTCACCCAAAATTGTAAAATTTTAGTTTAAAAATCGGAATGCGTTTGACCACCTATTGACCAAGTAACTTTTTTGACAACCCTCAGAAACATAAATATTTAAAAAAAATTAAAGGTCTACTGTCCGCTGGCCCCTCGAAGGTAGTATAAAAATTTTACATAAATAGAGGAAAATTAGCCTGATGAGCTAAAAAAGGTCGCGGCTATTATAATTAAGTTGACCTAAAAAAAGATCGTTGCTCAATTTTTCTCTAGAGTCACCAACGCCTGCCAAGTGGAAATACTACGGAACCGTACACACTTGGTATCAGACAAGCACCCGGACCGTACCGTTAAAAACAGAAAACCGGACCGAAACAGACAAAATTTTATTGGAACGGAACCGAAGCAACCGTTATTTTATCCAGAATTAAATTTTTAGAACCGGAACCGTTAATATTTTAAACGGTTTTATCGGTTTCGTTGTTCATATTGTTACATTTTTTTGTTTGGCTAATTATAGGTCTTTTCATTTGCATCAAAAGTGTAGCACTGAGTTACGCCACTTCTGAAAATATCGTTCCATCCATACAATTTGTATAAATGAAAATAAATAAAGAATGTTTAAATTATTATTTACGTTTTCTTTTACTACTTGTCTATCTATTTTATTTAATAAAATTGACTCCTAAAATAATATAATTAATTTATGTATTAAATAAAATTATACTACCTATTTAAAACTCAAATTTTTATATTTGTAATGTTTGTGCTTTATAAGAAATTATAAAGGTATGGAAAATTTGTACCGAAAAGAACCGTATGGTCGAAAAATTTGGTCAGAACCGAACCGAAATATTTTTAAAAGAACCGAAACTAAACCCGACCAAAAATTTTTAGTTTTACTAGAACCCGAACCGAACCGGAACCGTTAAATTAAATTTTCAGTAAACAAGAAAATGTTTTATATAAAAAATTACGATTCATTAAAAAAAAATAGGTTTTAATTAAGGTATTTAATAACTATTGCCGCGTTTGAGAATCCACATCGGATGCATCCGAGATGTAAAAAATCTTTGATCACGTGATTCAGTATACGTAAATGTAATGGGACAGATGTGTCCGATGTGGATAAAAAAACGCTCGATGTAAAAAATGCATCCTATGTGGATTCTCAAACGCGGCAAAAGTTATATGAATAGGATAGAAGAACCAGAAAACGCAAGTTGGAGAAAAAAAAAATTATATATTTTTTTTATTGACTTATGTGCTTTTTGAACGAAACAATGTGACAGGAAATAAGAGCAAAAACATACTTATTCAAAACTTTTAATAAAAATTATTTTAAAATGTAAGGAAAAGGTACATACATAACATTAAGCTTGAATGATAAGCTGATAAGATGCCGTCTTAAAAACCAACCTTGATTAAAAAATATCCGTGCAAAAGCGACATAAGTGGTATTTGTAAACATATAAAAATAAAAAAAATAAAAAAATGATTTATCTAAGAGCCCATTTCATAATGAAAATTAAAAAGTCCATTAACTAATGGGACAATTAATTTGATTAATATTCATTATGAAATCGGCCCGCCCTTACGGTTAATATCACTTGCGTGATTTTTGCACATAACATGTAGGTACGAGGTGGGTGACTCAATGGTAGAGTCTCTGCCTGTGGATCCAAGGGTCCCGGGTTCGAATCCCACCGTTGGCCGGGATTTTTTCATTTAATTTAATTATTTAAAATTAATTCTGATGTCTTGGTAGGATTCCCCACTCGACCATTCATAACAGTGCTGTTCCTAAAGTGGCGCTGGGAAACAGTAACAAAGCCTACACATAACACGAGAAGAAATAACCCAGGTAGTTGAAGCCGATGACACACAAAAAAACCTTTGACCAGAATTTTCATGACATAAGCGAGATAGAATAAAGTAGAGAGGACTTAAATTGTGTTTAAATATTTTTATATTTTATACTAATTGTATATTTTGTTTTTGCATAGCTCTATTTAATCATCAAACTGCATAATGATTTCATTTGCTTTTTTTTTTTTTTTTTTTTTTTTTTTTTTTACATTTTCTAGGGTCTAAGTTAGCCTAAAATTCTAAAAACATGTTCTTTTATATTATATGATATAATTTTATTTTGACACAACACAAGCGTCACGCTTAGGTGTCATCTAGAAAATAAAAGCAGAAAAAAAATGTATTTCCTAAAATTAGACAATGTATGTTTTTCAAATTGCAATAAATTATATGATAGATGGACGCACTTCGAGTGACGGAAAAAGTGTAATCAAAATGGCTACTTAGAGTCGTCCTTTGATTTATTTAATAATAATAATAATAATATTTATTGACCATTTAAAATACAATTTAAAAAAAAAATTAAAGTACCAGAAATAAATATGATCAAAAGGTCCTAAGATCAGATCAAGCTGTTCTTCCTCAAAGGCCTGCAAATGTAATCTAAACTAATCTAATACGGTGAACACATGTATATAATAAACAAAACTAAAACAAACAAAAAAAAAGTACTATAGGCCATTTGCATCGCTGGTCATCAAGAAACAAAAGACTTTTATTTTTTTAAGGAAAGGTAATAACGACGAGCGGTGCCGATGGATCCTAGTAATTTATGTAGCCTTATATAAACCAAACAAAATCAAATTACGAACTTACAAATTTGTGCATTGGTCATCATATAATATTTTAAACATTTTTGTTTTAAATGATGCTATGGATAAATTAATTAGGGAAACAGGAATATTATTATGCTCCTTTGCTATCTGATATGAAAACAAGTTTTTAAATTGTTGGGTTTGGTGTTTTGGAATCTCAATAGAATTTTTTTTTCGTGTATTTCTACTATGAACATCAGAACGATAAATAATTTTATTCCAAAGATATGGAGGACTTTTTTTAATTAAAATTTTGTGAAACAGGGTTAATGAATGAAGTTTTCTCCTATTTAACATATTTAACCATCATTTGCTAGTGTATATGGGAAATTCTATCAAATTTTTTAATTCCATATATAAGTCGAAGGCAGGCATTTTGTAGTGTTTGTAACCTATTTGAATAAATTTTTACCACTTTAAAAACACAATTTAAGTCGTTATATTATAGACACGTGTCACCTCTTTGACTCTACTACTACTGAAGTCAATAACTTTATATTTAAAGACTGACGGAATGAAAATATTTTTATATATCATTTAAATGAGGCTATTTAAAAAATGGCATTTATTCTTATCAAAACTGACCAGCTCCGCTAGCTCAAGTTTGACACATGACGTAAAAGTGTAATGCCAAGGTGCGAACACTTTTAATATCGTCTAATATATCCTCTTTGTTCTATCTCAATGCATAAGCCTAATTTTGCCAAATGTTAACTGACCGATTCAATTATTTTAGGGGGTTGTCAAACCTCGAAACATAATTATAAACGATTACACATCTTTATTGTGCCTTTATGTCAATTGGCCATTTTTTCCAAGTCGAATTTACGTTCTGAAATTGTTTCTTCGAATTTTGACCCCCTCTGGGTTGTTTGAATTATTTTAGGGGGTGATCAAACGTCGATACATAATTTGAAACGTCTTTGGATGTTAATTGTGCCTTCCTGACGATTGATCATTTTTTCAAAGTTGAGATTCGTCCCAGGTCCCAGAACTCTTGTTTTTCTATAATGTATCACTTCAGATTAATTTAAAGGTTGGTTAAAAAAATATAATGGGTGGTTAAAGATGATCAAAAATTGGTCAATTCTATGGTGCATGCAGTTGGCACTCCGATTTAAGCTATTGCATAGCTTTTATCGCGGGCTTTGAGCGTGGCGACCGAATCAAGAAATTTCCGTAACGAAAAAATCGAAAAATGGAAAAATCGTAAAATCGAAAAAGAAATTCCGTAACGAAAATAAACCTAACACACCCCACTCCGACCGGCACAGCAGTGCGGCGTGAAAGCCGTGCATTGTCTAACGTCGTTTCAGTTCGACAGATTTCGGCACGGTGTGTGTGTGCGTGCGATTAGGCGTATGCGTGTAGACTAGCTGCTAACTGCTCATAACTGATTCTATCTCTTTTAGACACAATTTCGGAAAAATTGAATTTGAAAATGAATAATGATCCACAACAAAATATGGGACCACCATTGACGCGGTATTTTCCAGATATTTAGAGGATATCAAGTCTCAAACTTATGTTTCTTATTTCAGTTACCATAAACCTATAGTGTCAATGATAAAAATTCCTGAATAACCTGCATGTATTGTAAGATAATAAAAATAATTTAAATAATATTAACTTCTCATTTATTCAATAAAATAAAAAAAATTGTTTTCTCATCGGTCACCACCTCAGATAAACAAATGAAAAATAGATAACTAACGGGCGCCGTTTAACACAGGCTTTGTTTGAAGCCAGTATCTACAAACTTTTGACAGCTGTGGTACTGTGGTCTACATGGGCGTATCAAGTAGTTTTTTCATCGGAATCTGAAGGATTATTTTGTAACGGACGGATTTAAAGAAAAATGCAAATCAAACATA